AGAAAGGCGAGCTACTAACCGAGAAGGGAAGGTCAGGGAGGTGTGCCGTTCAAGGTTATTATTGTCTTGAACTGGTATATAAGGCGGCGATGCTCATTGTTCCACATTGTCTTTCAACATGAAAGTTCTTGTGAGTTTGTTTCAAAGACCGCATACTTAACTTATTTTCGCTTCTAGTGTTTTAACAAGAAATGCCTATAATTCATATCCATATATAACCAGAAAATACCGACAGGAAATACCGAGTGGGCAGTTCTTTCCATAGTCCATACATCATGATATAAAATAAAATTTTTTTTTTTTTTTACTTTTATCACAGGTATTGGCTTCGGCACTGCTTGCTGCTGTGTATGCAGCTCCTCAGGGGTACAGTCTGCAAAGACCAACTGGATCTACCCTGTCTACCGGCCCCGGGCAGTCAACGGGGAGCGGACTTACTATAGGAAGTGGTTCCGGGCATGGTGTAGGAGTTGGTATTGTTACTGGATCTGGACAAGGCGCAGGAATTTCAGTTGGCGGTACCGGGCATGGTGTAGGAGGTGGCTTTTCCTCTGGATCTGGTCATGGGGTGGGAACTGGTATTTCCGTCGGAGGGAGTGAAGGCGCTGGAATTTTAGAACCATGTGGAGAAGGACAAGTTCGACATGTAGACGGATCTTGCGTTACACCAGTCGTGAACAGAAAAGTATTTGTCTTTGATGTTCCTGAACAAAAAGGACCTATTGGTCCTCCACCAAGCGTTCCTCCTCCACGAGTGGATCATAACATTCTGTTCGTGCGACTTCCCGAAGAAGGAGAAGGACCTGAACCAATCGTTATTCCACCACCAAGACAGGAGAACATCGTCTATGTACTCAACAAGAAGGACGAACAGGCTCAGCGTGTCATCGAAGTACCTGCCCATCCTCCATCTGATCCTGAAATCTACTTCGTCAATTATGAAGAGGGTGAGAACCCAACTCTACCCATTGGTGTGGATCTCAATACTGCTCTTGGCTCAGCCGCTGAAGCTGGTGGACAAGTAATTGGAGTCGCTGGAGGTGATAGTGGTGAAGGCGCAGGATTTGGAGTAGGTGGAGTAGTAGGAGGAAGTGGATTTGGAACAGTCAGCGGGGGATTGGGTGGAGCTGGTGCAGGCAGTGGATTCGGCACTGTTAGCGGAGGATTGGGTGGCGTTGGTACAGGCAGTGGATTTGGAGCTGTTAGCGGTGGATTAGGTGGAGCTGGCACAGGCAGTGGATTCGGAATTGTTAGCGGTGGATTAGGTGGAGCTGGCGCAGGTAGTGGATTTGGAGCAGTGAGCGGGGGTGTAGGAAGCTCTCCTTCTGGTTTATATACCACTCCCTAAATGGACTACAATGCCGCTTCCATTTAACTTATGAACAAAAAAGACAGTATAAAGATGTAATATATTCCTTAATATATGACAAGTTTCGATACAGTTTTTTACTAATCCCTATATGCAGGAGAATGCAAATTTGAGAAATCTGCTACATCATTTTAATAATAAACAACATGCACACAATGTACATTGTATGTATGTACTCACAAACATACACATACAGACAACATGTATATGTAAATATATGTATATATACATATACATAAGAGATGGTTATAAAGACATACAGAGATGCAGAAATAAGTATTCCCATATTGTAACTAAATTTCGCTGTATTGTGGTAAACTTGAGTACAAAGTTTTCCATGTATCTATTATAATAAGTAATATATATCTATGTATATATGTATATTGCATATATATGTATATATATATATATATATATATATATATATATATGAATATAAGTTTATGTGTACACACACGCATATATCTATTTATGTGCATCTATCTATCCATCTATCTGTCTATATGCTTATGTATATATTCATATATATATATATATATATATATATATATGAATATAAGTTTATGTGTACACACATGCATATATCTATTTATGTGCATCTATCTATCCATCTATCTGTCTATATGCGTATGTATATATTCATATATATATATATATATATATACATATGTATATACTTTATTTTCCATATTCATATATACAGATAGACGTATAAACACAAATACACAGATGTAACGTTTAAAACTGTAGTAATGATAGGGTGGATTATTTTGCGTTCGAACTCTTTTATACAGGAATTCTGTCTTAAAGTTTTTGTCTTTTTTTCGATATATTAGGGCTGGGGAAGTGCAGCTCCTTTGCTTATGAGGGTCATCTTATCCTGTGAATATAGGCCTAAACCTTCAATTATGGGAAACACAGTATATATATAAATGTACGCACGCTCGCGCACACACCCACACACGCGCACATGCACACACACACAGACACACGCACACGCACACACACACACGCGTACTCATTGATATTGTGAATGACGATGGTGGTAATATGAATAAAATAATAACATAAAAGCACTGGTAATAGAAAATAAATATAGTCATCATAATGATCATGATGCCATGGCTGATA